CCCTTAAGGTCAAAAAATGGAAACACTTAACATTTTTCACTGACTCTGGCTGGTTAAATTCATGTCACTAAATTCACAATTAACCCCCTCTTTACTTTTAAGGTTAGTCTTAAAGCTTTCCTTTTTGATAAAGCTTAATAGATCACTTTGACTCCTTGAAGCAAATTGTACAGAAATGAGGCTTCGGTTTTTGCATTACTGCATATAGTTCTTTTATTAAGAAAAATCTTTGTAAAGATATGTATACACAATTTATATCCTATGTTATGTTTCTTTTTAATCTTATTTCAGCTTAATGAACCAGTGCAGGAAACCAAAACTGTGAAATGTGTCCAGCTACATAAACATGTCAAAGACCCTGCAGCTGGCAGCAAGTGTCTGGTGGCTGGATGGGGACTAACTAAAAAAAACCAACCATCAGATGTCCTTATGTCTGTTAAAGTGACTGTGATTGATAGAGTGAAGTGCAACTCTCGTGACTATTACAACCGCAACCCTGTTATCACCAGTGACATGATATGTGCTGGTTCAAAGGGTAAAAAAAAGACTGATACCTGTGAGGTAAGGATCATGCATATGTTTTGTGCTTTAAGACCCGCTGCCACCTTGAAAGTTGTATATAATTTAAAAGTGATTGCTCTTTCTGCAGGGGGATTCAGGAGGGCCACTGTTGTGCAATGGAGTGCTAGTTGGAGTCACTTCTTTTGGACCTAAGGAGTGTGGTAACATAAAAAAACCTGGAGTCTATTCTTTTCTCTCAGAAAAACAACTCAAGTGGATCAAGGACACAATGGGTGCCCCTGAAATGTGATGCCGACATCAATGCAGATATGAGCTAACAGCCAGATATGAATCTTTGATGCTGTTAAACATGCTACTGCTGGGTCCACTTGATCTATTATTTTTCATTTAATGGCTTCTGTTTCATCTTTTATAGAGTAGGTTCCTTGCTTGCTATAATCTTTACAGACTATTAAAAGCATCAGCACATCTATTACATGAACAGGCGTTTGTTTAAACATCATATAACTGGAAGTGGGTTCATCACCCTTTCCCTTGCAGGAACTTGGGTGGGATATCTATAACCAGTCTTTTTAGTATTGTGTAGGAAAAGATTGACTGTCAAGTATTTTAGCAATTGTCATTGCACACCATACATAAACATGGGTACATAGCTTTCACACCTGAAAAGATAAGCAAATGTAAAAGTGCCTTAAATCTGCATTGTTTCTACTTTACTTTCTGTATTGTTTTTTGACTACACTTTCTTCTTTTTCTACTTTCTAATAAAGCAAAATTTTAAAAGGAATCACTGTTTATTTCATTGTTTTTACTACAGCTCTTTCAAATTTCCAATTTCTCAAACATAATATATGTCATATAAAAAAATATCTGATTTTAGAATGCTACATTCTTCAAAGTAATGGACATAGAGCCCACCTTACATTTTAAGATACATAGTTAATAAAAGTTATAAATACAGTACTTGAACTTAATATGTCTCTCTCCAGACATGTGACATATGTCCATATGATTGGCAAACTTGTCCCGTACTTTTGCAAGCATGTCTGGTGTCACTGTAACCAGATACCAGTGAATGGCTGTGGAATTAAATCACTTACACAGTAAAGATGATATCTTGTAATTTCTTTTCTTCTTTCTCTCTCTCTCTCTCTCTCTCTCTCTCTCTCTCTCTCTCTCTCTCTCTCTCCCCCCCCCCCCCCCCCCCCCACCCCACACACACACACACAAGAGACATTCACTTCTAGAAGAACAAGCATAATGAGCCTCTGACTAAGAGCAAACCACAAAAAATAATGCTAAGACCCTGCACAGGAAGAGTGCAAAATGTCACGACATACCACAAGTGTCATCCATGACAAGGGGCAGTCTCAATTTGTTAGTTAGACGTTTTACCTTAAATGCTGCTGTTCTTTCATTGCTGTCTGCTGATGACAAACAATTAGCTACACTGCAAGTTAGAGAATAGTTAAAGAATAAGAATAACTTTATTGATCCTAAAGGGGAAGTAACCAATCTACTTAGCCCTCTAAATACATCTCAGCATTACTGTAACATGAACTGTCCGAAAATATTATAAATAATATCTTTACTTGTAAGACCGTGAGCTTTATGTGACACTGACGCTCAGTTTCTTACTATACCATTAGTTAGAGTTCTTTGCAGTGTCGAAAAAAGAAAGAAAAGCCTCTGCAACTCTGATATTCCTGTAGTCTTTCGTGTGTACGTTTGAAAGTGCAGGCAGATAGAGAGAGGTGAGTAGCTTGAATAAAGAGAAATCAATTCATTAAATCCTGAATTGACTTTTAAATATAAATGTATTTTGCCAGAAAGGCCAGAATCTCAGATTAAAGCTCACAAAACTATTTTAACAACGTAAACACAGAGCGCGGATGCGCGCTTTGTGTTTACATCTTTTTTGCGCTAGGTTTTGTCTCTCTTTAACCAAAATTCACTGGGGGCAGTATCTGTTTCTTCATCCTCTTGGATCTCTTGCTACATGAGGCAAAGCATTGTGGTTCACCTGGAGGAACCCAGGACCCACTCAGTCTATTTTGTCACGGAACTGGGTTTGCGATCCAGTGTTTTGTGTGTTTTAGCTTTATTCTTTGATCATTGTTATTTTCCTGTTTCCTGGTTTATTTTGAAAGAGTCTTGTTTGTCTTTGTCATTGTTTTTTATTTCACTTCCTCTGTGGCGTCATTATGTTCGTTCTAGTCAGCTGTTTCCTCTGTGTTTCCACTTCTTCTGATCACCTCCTATGTGTATTTAAGTCCCCTGTCTTCCTTTGTTGATTGTCAGGTTGTCTGTTTACCATCCACGTCTCATCTTAGTATTCATAGTCTTCATTGTGGTTTCATAGTTTTCACTGTTTTCTTTTCTTTTTTTTCTTTTAGTTCTTTCCAGTTTAGGTGTTAGTTTAGTTCTCGTCACTGTTCATGTTGTTTGCACTTTTTGTCATCAGCCCTAATGAAGGCTCGCTTTTGTTTCCTCTCTCAGTGTCTGCATTTGGGTCTATATTATATATACACACTGGCGTACCCCACTGTGACACATTTATTGTGTTCAACAGACTCAATAAACTGATTGGCAAAGCCAGTAATGATGTGGGGATGGAGCTGGACTTTCTTACTGTGGTGTCAGAGAGGCGGACGCTTTCCAACATAAGGACAATGCTGGACAATAACTTGCACCTACTCCATAACGTGCTAGCTAATCACAAGAGCACGTTCAGTGAGAGACTGAGATTACCCAAATGCACCACTGAATGACACAGGAAATCATTCCTGCCTGTGGCCATCTCCCTGTACAACTCCTCCATCTAATGCACAGTACACAGTGCAGTAGTTACACCCTTTTGCACATGCTCTACAGTACAATAACAAGGTTAGAGTAAAATGTCAATCATATATGTCTCACCTTTGTAATATTCTGGATATTTATAATTGAGCTATTTGTATATATTAGAGCTATTTCTTATATTTGGTAACTTTATAATATATTGTATTATTTAATTAGTTACTTTAATTAGTCTACTTAGTCACTAGTCACAGTTACTGTTATTCTCTTGGAGCAACTTTAACCCACATAATTTCCTTAGAGATTATGAAGGTATTCTGATTCTAATTCTCAAAAAACCCTGTAATTCATTCACCTACTCACCACTTCAGTCAAAGTGGAGTTAAATTTAGTTGTGGCCTCCATCAGTGCCTCCTGCATGCGATCACATGCCACAGATGGAGCAATGTAGGGCCATGGCCAACGGCCATAAATACCAGTCATCACTAACTAGATAACTAGATAATAAGTGCCTTTTTAAAAATATGTTAGTTGTGTATTAAATACACAACTTTGGGAATGTCCCCTTCCTGTTCCAACATGACTGCACACCAGTGCTCAACGCAAGGTCCATAAAGACACGGATGAGCAAGTTTGGTGTGGAAGAACTTCCACAAGGTCCTGACCTAAATACGATAGAACATCATTAGGAGGAATGAGAGCAGAGACTGCGAGTCAGGCCTCTAGTCCAACATCAGTGTCTGACTTCACAAATGCACTTCTGAAAGAACGGCCAAAAATTCCTGTGAACACACTACTAAACCTTATGGAAAGCCTTCCCCGGAGAATTGAAGCTGTTATACCTGCAAAGTGTGGGCTGACATCATATTTTTACTGTTTTACTGTCACTCAAGTTCATATGTGTGTGAAGGTAGACAAACAAATACTGTTGGCAATACAGTGTCGAACAATTATTAGTAAACAGTACAAACATAACAAACTAATTATTTTTTAGTTTGCTTTACACATTGTCCAAACATGGTTTTTGAATAGTAACTTTAAAAAAAATTAAGTCTCAGCTGTATCCTGCTGACCAGCCTACACATTTCTCTCAATTGTCCCATAAGTTTGAATGAGTGGTGTGTGATAGAGACACGGCAGGTCCAGAGAGTGTTAGGCAAAGCCATCGTTATTGCACACGCGGCTGCACCTCTCAGCTGTCCGCCGCACATTCATCACACCACAACTCACAACAACCCCTGCTTCCCCGTGTTTTTAACACGGCAGGCGTGATTGCGGATGCCGTGCAGGTGCGTCCGCACGGCACCGCTGACCATGCCTCACCACAGACACTATGTCATGAAATATGGAAGTTTTTAAAGCACAGAATGAAAATTACAACAATCTAAGTTTAGTTTAACAGTCAAGCCAAGGACAATGAAATATTCATCCATGGGAAATACACCGAGTCAAATTTCTCACGGTCAAAAAGTGGGTAAGTATATGTGTGTGTTCTTGTTGTTGTTGTTGGTGGTGGCGGTGATGATGGTGAATGGGGTAATGATATATTTGATCACAACCTTAGAATCGTTTAGGAGCCCATTTTGCTGACTTGTTCATTTCAGTTGTCAGACCACATCCTTTCAGCTCTCTGTATAAAGCTGAGCGTCACGGTTTCAGTGCATTCAACATCTACGAGAGACAAAGCGCAAAATGTTCTGCCAGAGTTATTTCAGTGTTTTCGTTTCATGCATGCTCCTCGTGATCATCCAGCCAGGTGATTAATATTTTATGTGGTACTGACAATTTTCTCATTCATTTAAATAAGCAGAATGCATACTCGGCATTACAAAAGCAGTTAGTAAAGGGTATTTGTTTCACTCATCTGTTTTTGACTGCATCATCTGCTGAATTTGTTATGTGATGGATATTTTCTTTTTGTTTTAGGTGGTGGGTCTGAGATTATTGGAGGGAAAGAAGTCGAGCCACACTCGTTGCCTTTCATGGCCTATGTGGAAAGCAAAAAATCTTTCTGTGGAGGGACGTTAATCCATCCACAATGGGTCCTGACAGCTGCCCACTGCAAAAAGTAGGAACGCTTTTCAAATCACAATATTGTAATATTTATGTTTAACTGACAGTGTGAAAGATAATACATAAAGAGATTTCACAAGAGATCAGAAGGAAAAAGTCTTTATTATAATTATTAATGTAAAAATGTTTGTCCATATTCTTGTAGGTATTATATCTTCACAGAGAATTTTGCACTAATCATTGTCATATTTTTTTAATTTTTTAGAATTTCTTCATTTCCTTATCATAGATACAAATCAAATTGGCATCAAACATATTGTCTGTTGTTTTTATAGAAAAGCCTGCAAAACACAAGTAGATTTGTCTGCATTGCACATAAATATTATTATTAATAAACTGGAACGGTACGGGATCAGGGGGGTTGTACTGCAATGGGTGAAAAATTATTTAAGTGACAGGAAACAATTTGTGAAGCTGGGTGTCCATTCCTCATCATGCTTGGACATTGCTTGTGGTGTTCTACAAGGCTCTGTACTGGGTCCAAAATTATTTATTATTTATATAAATAATATTTGTAAGGCATCTGATATATTAAAATTAGTATTATTTGCAGATGACACAAATATTTTTTGTTCTGGGGGTAATCTAAAGGAGCTGCTGGATACAATTACTTCAGAAATGTGCAAAATTAAAAAATGGTTTAACAGGAACAAACTATTGCTAAATCTAAGTAAAACTAAAATAACCTTATTTGGGAATTCCCTTAGAAATGCACAAGTGCAGATTCATATAGATGGTGTGGAAATTGAAAGAGTACTTGAATATAAGTTTCTTGGTGTGATTATAGATGATAAATTAAACTGGAAGTCTCATATAAATCATATACATAACAAAA